GCCTCAGGCACCTCTGCCTGGCCTGGTGCTATGGCCATCGCAGTGACCACAACCCACTTCTGGCCCCCCCAGAGTCAGACGGGGCACACAGGCGCTGGTGGCTGGGGAGTGGGGCTCTAATGACTTGAGTGGCAAACCAAACGGCGAGCGAGCTTCACGAGAGCACGTCTGTTCCCACACCAGCCGGTGCAGCCAGCCTGGGCACCTCACACCCGTCCCCGCCAAGCGGAGTCCCACGTGACTCACTGCTGGCAGTACAGGGAGAACCTGATAACCACACTTGAATGTTGATCGAGGGGAGGAAGTCGCACAGATTTGCTTCTGTAAAAGAAGGAATTTGACGTGTCGTTCTGTGTGTCCAGTTTTCCTTTTTTTAAAATCTCTTTGCACTCTCCAACACGGTAGCCACATGCTGGGCTGCGCAGATAATAGGACATTTCCACCATCCAGGACAGTTGTAGTGGACAGCATGGGTGTAGAGTACCTTAAAGAGAGTCTTAACAACCGTGGGTGGGGTTGACCAGCACTGGCGAGGTGCTGGGTTAAGCATTGTCAAATCTTTGCACCATCACTGTGAGGCTGGTTACCAAAGAAAACCCAAACCCACTGCCATCAAGTCGATTCCGACTCAGTGACCCTATAGGACAGAGTAGAACTGCCCCATAGAGTTTCCAAGGAATAGCTAGCTGGCGGGTTTGAACTGCCGACCTTTTGGTTAGCGGATCTTGCTCTTAACCGCCACACCGCCAGATTTCTGAGTTTGGTGACAGTATCCCCATATTACGAACAGGGAAGCAGGCCTGGGGCAAGGGACCGTTCTGCAGCTCACCATGTTACATTGGAGCTGGAGGTGGAACTCTGGATAACTGCGTTTTAGCTGGCATTAGCCTCAGTGTCCCAGGGAGGGCAGCAGTGTTCCAAGGAGGAGCACCTTCAGCTGTAGCTATAAAGAAGGCTAGGCTTAGGCTGGGGGAGGCCAGCAAAAAAGGTAGTCCTGAAAGAAGACATGGACCCTGGGGCCACGAAGCAGAGGGAAGCAGAGGTAGGATGGGCAGAGGAGTGGAGTTCGAGAGCAGAGACCAGGAAGGAGGGCTGAGGCAGGCCTGGCACCCAGGGTTTTCCCAGGGCCTCCCTGGAGCCTCTTGTAGTGAAGGTCCTGGCTCTCTCCCAGAAGCACAGCTGGGACACATTTGAAGAGGACAAGGGACTGCCTGTCCTTACCCGCTCCACGCCCTGGAGTAGACAGCCCTCGTCTCCCTCCCTGCCACCTCCTCGAATACCGGGAATTCCGGCGCGGCTGGGAGCCCGGGCCTGGCTGGGAACTTCCCTTAAGCCGGGAAAGTGCAGCTGGGGGCGGAGGAGAGAAAGGCCAGCTTCGGGCCTCAGGGAGGCTGGGGGCGTCCTCGGCTGCTGTGGGACCCAGGCCCTGGCGCACAGTAGGCATTCCACAAGTCGAAGGTTGGTGTAGAGTTAGTTGGGATCTGGTCGGCTCCAGCTCCTGGCAACCTTAACATACCAGAACGGAACAGTGCCTGGCCTGGTACCGTCGTCATGATCTTTGATACGCTTGAGGCCCCTGCTGCAGCTACTGTGTCAGTCCTGACAAGGAGTAAGTGAAGAAGAACTACAGCTAACTTTTATTGATCCAGGCTTTGTATCGGCGACTCAGCTAATTATCAGAATCGTGGGGCTGTCGGAGCATCAAGCTATAAACCTGTGGGCAGGGACATGTGCCCCCGTGTGCCCGCAGTGGCAAGAACAGTTTCTGGTACAGCAGGACACTCAACACATACTAGAGCAGAGGCTTGAGTGAGGTTGTGAGTTCAAATCCTAGCTCTGCCGCTTCCTAGCTGCGTCCCTAGGCAAGTCCTTC